TCACAGCCAACGCCCTAACACGGGCACGCTGGTGTTGACTACGGCCTCTGCTTTATTCCGGTTTCCCGTTTTTCCCTGTCGCTTTTTGGTCCCAGGACCCCACCCAGGATACCACGTCATGTTCAGCCGCCACGTCTCAGATTCCTCTGAGCTGCGACAGTTTCTCAAACTGTCTTTGTTTTTGATGACTTGACCATTTTGCGGAGCACTGGTCAGGTGTGCCGCAGAAAATAACTGTAGGTCTGCTGTGTGGCTCACGGTTGGAGCGGGCGGGGGCGTGGGAGGGACGCAGAGGTGAGGCGTCCTCCTATCACCCCTCGTGAGGGCACCTCTGTCCACCTGCCTCCAGACTGCGGGTGCCGCCCGGGTCCCCGCCAAGGTCTCCGCCGTGAAGTTGCTGCTTCGTTCTTTGCACACAGTCGTCTCGGGACAGAGTCCCCACGCCCGGGCCGCCTGTGCGGGGCGGGGAGTTCTGCCACCTCCTCAAGGGGGTGTCTGCGGAAATCACGTGGAATCTTCCGCACGGCAGCTGTGTCTCCTCTCCCACTCCCAGAAGCATGGGTTTATGGATGCTTACTGTATACTTTGGGTGTAATACACTATTGCTGTATTTGTTTTGTTGCTCAGTGCTTGCAGCTTTGGCCGTGGGGTCCCTGTGACACCCAGCGCTGTGGGTGACCTGACATTGCCTGACTTTCCGGCCCCACGAGATGCTCCAGGCTGGTCCTGCACATTCCCTGGCCTGGCCCTGGATCAGCCCCTCCCTGCAGGCCTGGGCGCCCTTCACTGGCAAACTGGGGTCAGGAGCCAGGGCCTGGGTGCTGGGTGGGCCTCACTGCTGGGTCATGCCTCTAGGCCCCCTCAGCTGCCAGCAAGGAAGCACATGTGTGATTACCGACCCGTGTGTACGTGCACGTCTGTAATTGCCTCTGTGTGAGACCTGCCGTACCTGTGTGAAGTGACAGGTGGGTTAACGCTGATGGTGACCGCTAATCCGGGGAATCATTCCTAGATGAGGAGAGCCCTACAGGTAAAAACGTTACTGCTCCCTCGACCCGGGGCTTTCTCTCCCTGGATGGTCACCTGGCCCCCGCTTCCCTTCACTCAGGTCCCAGATCAGAGGTCCACGAAGGGGCTGCCCCCAATCCCTGCCGCACACGCAGCTCCCAGCACCGTTCCCTGAACGCAGCCCGCGTGTGCACACCCCCACACCCCACGCCTCAGCCCTTCTGCACCAGGACTGCAAGAGCAGCTGCTGCCGCACTCCTCGATTCCAGACGCTTCCCGCTCCCATCCATCCTGTGTACCAATTTTAAAATACCATTTTCCCCTCATTGTCTGCTGAGAAGCAACTCCTTGCTTCCTGGGTACCTACCACTGAGCATGTTTGTCACAGGTTCATTCTGTTAGGTGTTCATCATCTCTTCCAGGAGACGGTGAGTGCCCTGAGGACAGGGACTTCCCTGACTAATTCCCTGTGTTCCTGCAATCCTAGCACAGTGCTGGTGCATGGCAGGCACTCAACACATATTTCTGGAATACATATTTGCATCGAGGAAGGAACGAAGCTGCTGACCAGAGACCAAGAGAGGCATCGCCTCAGCCACGCGCCTCCCTCTGGAGCTGTCCAAGGCCCCTCCTGGCCAGGCCTCCCTGGCCCGCCTCTCAGGGCAGCTAAAGGGGGAGCCTTGACGCTTTCCCCTCCCAATCCTGGCCTTTAAAACAACAGGTTTATTTCTGAATTAACTAAAGAGCAAGAGAAAAGGACACATGTCAATCAATATCCGCTCCTCTGCCCATTGTTGGCACCAACCCAGCTGTGGCATGTTCGTGATCGTCACCTCCCTCAGGGAGGGAGACACTCTCACCACAACAGAATCTTTTATCCTCTTCACTTATTCTCTTTGGCAGGACATTGATGGTCACGTCTGCTTCCAGGGACACATGCCCTGGTGGCTGCTGCCTGGCCTGAGATGAGACAACGAAGGCACAAGTGTGGTGCTGGGACACAGCAGAGAAGGCACCCCGGTCTGGAGGCTGAGGGGCTGCTGGGGCATTCCTGCCCTCGGACACGCCTCTGGCCGTGACAAGCAGCGGCTCTCAGAGAAGGAGACTCTGCTCACCTGGAGCCCAGACAGCCACAGCGTCAGGAAAGCCTGCAGTTGCCCTCCTTCCAGCGTGCCCACCCTATGCGTGGCAGAAGGAGCAGCTCTGAGACAGCACCCAGGAGCTGGGGCCACGGTGAGGGCCAAGGAGAAGCTGAGACACGGGCGCCTGAGGGACCCCTCACTGAGGCTGCCCTCGCTGCCCCAAGCCCGTCACCAGCGCAGGGCAGCCATGTCCATCCCGGGCCAGGTGCTGCATTCTCAGACCCAGGAGCAAGCTCAGCCCACCACGCCACCATCCGAAGCACAGCACGGGCCACAGCTGTGAGCCTGAAGCACCCACTTGATCACCTCCCTGTTGACTTCGCACTGCTCTTATCCAGCCACATTAAAACACGTGCCTACTTTGGGATACACGTCCTACACATAAGGACATATGACCAACACATTAGAGAACAGGCCTTTGGATCGGGCAGTGAGGACAAGAAAAAATAAATACAACAAGAGAGCCCAGCTGAATCACTGACGATAACGAATTTAAGAACAGATTAATTCAACCCTCCAGCTGCACATCAACAAAAAAGCTAACAAGCTCAAAGGTTTCTCTCTCACTCAAGGTAGTGAAGACGCGAGTATGGGGTCTAGTCTGGTCACGGAGGTGGGACGTGTCCTTTCTACAGGGCAAAGGCAAAGCTGGCGCTGTGTTTCATGGAGGTCCCTGGAACAGGCTACCATGGGCTGAGGGTATTCTGGGAGCTGGGACTGCCCCACCCACCCATGGCCACCCCATACCCACGACCACGTCCACCATGGAGCACGGTATGCATCTGGGGAGCAGGGACGTCTCTTCTCTCTGGGCGACCCCTTGGCACTGCCTGCCATGCTTGTGACAATGCACCCCATGCACTTTGGCACCACCACCTAAGTTCATGGCCTGCGCCAGGGCAGGTGCTTATTAATAACCTTTTGTTGACACATGTCCCAAGAGGATTTCAAGCTACCTTGTCAGGGGTAAGAGTTACTGAAACCTGTAATGGCCCAGCTAATGAACACCCCAGTTTAGGGGAGAGTAATCACCCGATTGCTTTCCTATGATTACTATGTATTTTCATTGCCAAAAGATGCAATACAATTTCATGGTTACTTGGCCCTGTAAAATAGAAATACCCCCACATTTTAAGATATGAAAAGGTTTATAACCAGGATACTGTCAGTTCAAGAATGAGCCCATGGTACAAATGAGTCAATTCATGACAAAATTTAATTTCAGGAAAATTAACTCGATAAAGATGCCACGATTGTACTTAAAGTTTTAATGCCTATTAGGAGTTGTGGGGTGCTGGTGCAGAACCAAGGGCGAGCTGATCCATTCCTGGCTCCTCAAAATGCGACTGACTTAATACTTAATTTATTCATAATGGGGACAGTATTACAAGGAACTCCGTGTTTAATGAGGGGGGCCTGGGTCTTGAAAGCCTAACCAATCACAAAAATGGAGAGTGTTCACAGTTTACGGGACATTAAGTTTTGTTTCCTGTGACACTACGGAGAGCGCGCGCAGCCTCAGACTGACGGCTCCTTTACCCAAGCAGCCCACGGTGAGGCTTTACGTCCCCACGTGGTGCTGGCCAGAGATGCTGGAGCTGCCACGTACCCAGAAAAGCTAAACCAAAGTGGAGGTTTGAACGACAATCTACTGACTTGTAATAATTTCTGTAGTGAGCATCATTAGACTGTACAAGCTTCAAAAAAAAGAAAAGTCAAAACCCAGGCCATCAGAGCCACAGAACACCCACACCCACTGTGGGGCACACTGACCAGCAGCCAGCCTCAGAAACACAGCTGTGGGTTATTGTTCTACATGATTCATACGAAAACAAGCTCAGAATAAGAGACCTGTGGGCGTGGAGGCCCAGCAGGCACGCTGTCCTCTGGGAAGAATGCAGCCAGGCAACTGCACTGCGGGGAGGGGCTGACCACAGAGATGCCCAGGCCCTCCCTAGAGGTCCCCAGGCCTTCCACGGACGTCCAGGGGCCCAATCCAGTGCCTGGCCCTTCACTGCCTCACAGCGAGTCCCGCTGCCCCGGAGCTCCCCAACCCCAGCACCGATCTCCAAAGGCTGCCACCCGCTTCCCAGAGCCCCGCGTGCAGCCCAGGAAGGGCCGCGATCACTGCGGTAAAAAACCTGCCTCTCGGGCGCAAGGATGAAAACCAGCCGTATGCCTCCGTCTTCCGCACTCTGTAGGGATTTCATCCTAATCCCACATAATGGTGCCTGCTATTTGCAACTGATGATGAAAGGCCGGCACTAAACCCCACTGCATGGCCTCAGCTTCAGCAAACATCTCGAACAAAATGAAAAGGTGCTAGAATAAGTAATGGGACACTCAAGGGAACAGAGGTGGCTTGTTCCAGAAAACTCAATCTCCTCAAGCAATGAATTCCATCAAAATAGGTGGAGAGTAGAGAATTTCCTATTGCACTGAATCTATCTGTGATTTTTTTAAAAAATCTTTATTATAAGTAACTCAAAACATAGACAATGTGTGAGTCCTGGGCGTGAATGTTTCTGGCAGAAGCAGCTCAAGCTCGTGGCAGTTGCAAGCATTACTCACCACGCTCCCGGGACACTGCTCAAGATGCAAATTGCCAGCCAGCAATGGGGACACTGTCGCCACGGTCGGAATGGAATTCAGCTACAAATATGACAACACAAAGCTCTTTTCCCTGTTTTACATCTAGTCAGATGACAAGAATGCCAGAAATGTACTTCTGAAAGACCATGTTTCAGTTGAGAAGATGCTCTGAAGGCAAAATCAAACGCAGCGCCCAGACCCAGGGCAGAGCACGACAGGACGTGGCCCCGGCTGCCGGCTCCGCGAGGGAGAGCTCACCTGGTAGGTGTCCCACAGGCGGATGGTGCAGCGGAGGGGCAGCTCCCGCATCAGCAGGTTGTTCATCCAGCGGAAGGCAAACTGCAGGTATCTCACCTCGTGCTGGTCCAGGTGCCGATGGACTTGCTCTGCACAAAACAAACACAGGCCCCGAGGCCATCAGCGCAGCCCTCTGGAGGCCCCCGGCAGCCAGGTCCTCTGTGCCCGCTGCAGAACCCCACGCTGACAGCACATCCCTAACGCCCTAAGAATCAATCCTATTAGTGGAGAACTTTACAGTTGACTGTTCTTTAAGACAAGCAAATGATCCTGTTTGGTGAGGACTGTAACAGCCACAACAGCTCCCAGTGCTCCGTGCCTCCACATTTGGGGCCTCACAGCCCACAGGCCCCCGAGACGAGTGGGGCTGCTCCTGTCTCACGGAGAGCACGCGGGGTGTGGGGAGCCCAGAGCGACGCCATGCCCCAGTGGCTCCACAGATGCGCACTCCTTCCCCTGCCCCAGGGCAGGTCCGCAGGCCCAGGCTGGGGTCCTGAGAGGGGCTTAGAGAGAGGATGAGCTCGCCTGCTGGCCAAGACTGACTCAGCCCCACCCAGGGAAAATGTTCCACCTGCACCCAACTGCTGAGTGGGCAAGTGAGACATGTCCCCAGGCCACGAGCCAGGTGGCCTCTGAATTCCAGGTTTGGGACATCTGAAGAGGCCAGGTGTTACTGAGTGTCATTCCCCAAAGCATAAGCCACATACTCTTGCCTTCTTGTGAAGCAACAGTGGGCAAAAAGTCAACAGTCTTGGCTTTAGATCCTGCAATCCTGCCTCCCAGCCCTCTGTGGAGCTGTTACCACCTGCAGAGACAGGTGTTGCTCTGAGCAGGTAGCACCTGCGGAGACAGGCGTTGTGCTCTAAGAAGCTCCAAGGTCTACAAGCTTCTGAACCCCTCACCCCAGGAGGCAAAAATTCTGGCAATCCTGGTGAATACCTTCCTATTGTCTGGCATTTGCCCATTCGCCCACTGGGGTTCCACTCTGAAGGGCCTGGGAAAGTTGGGAACCACTTTATAGAACAAGTAATTATCACCTAATTGCTCCAGATTATGAACTAGGTGTTTTTATTCAGGGCCCACCTGAGGCTTGCTGGGAGCCCTCCTGCCACACACCTCTTCCCTCGCTCCACTTCCCCAGGTACCTCCTCTCCACTCACCTGCCCCGCCCCACCCTGATAATTGACCCTGAGAAAATTTCATGGGTTCTCCATTCTTCCAAAGAAAGTTCGAGGACTGGCACGTAAACAAATGTAAGAGAGAAGCTAGTGTTGTGCTCACTGGCTGAAAGCCCCTAATTTGCAACGTTGCAGAAACAAGCCAACAGCGGGATGGGAGGTGCGTCGTGCTGCACAGAAGAGTCTGGCTGGCTGCAGGCTGTGAGACTGGGAGCCGCTCTGCCAGAGACAGGAGGCTTTGCTGGGCTAGCTCTGGTCCCCATGCTGGGCCCTGCTGTGAAGGGAGTCGGTCCCTCAACTGTCCCTGCCCTCACTGTGGCCCTCCTTCCCAAACCACTGTCCTCAGCTGAGCAGAACGAACACGCGAGGCAGGATTCCTGCGGGGCCGGTGTGCGGGCAGGTGGAGGACAGGCCCTGGTGCATGCTGTGGAGGAGACGCGGCACCATAAGCTCAGCTACGACAAGACAGTGCATAAGCGCCGACCCGGGCCGAGCTCCCTGGGCATCCTGGGACGAGGCGCCAGGGAGGCGGGGCTGCCTTGCCGAGGCCCCCAGGAAACTCCCCAGCGGGCTTCCCAGACCAGGCAGCAGCTGGGACCCCAGCAGCCCCCACACAGCTGCCCCCTCGTGCTGCCTCCACAGGAACAAACTTGGGGACAGAGGGCTCTGGGCCTGGCGGAGGCCGGCCCCAGGAGGCAGTCAGGATGGAGGGTCTGGGCGGCGGAGCAGCCTACCGGGGCTCCTCCTGCCGGCGCCCGCCCGCCCCAGGGACTCAGCCAGCACAGAGGCGGTGCTCCTTTCTGTGCGGTGAGGAGCTCTGGCACACACCCACGCACGCCCCGCAGACGTCCACGTTCCCACGCCAGCACATGCCATCTGCCCCACCTGCCCGAGAAAGCGTCCCCGGTAGAGCGTCCTGGTGAGAAAGTGGCAGGAAACGCTGGTGCTTGGTGTGAGTCACGGGAGCAAGCTGGGCCACGTGAGGGCAGTGAGGGCAGTAAGGACAGACGGCCCTGAGTTATGAAAAATCTCATTTTTATATTAAAACCCAACCAAATATGTACTATGACATCAAGTCAATTGTCATCATCAGTTTCTAGGGTAAAACCTCAGAGTGCAATGAAATCTCATCTTCGCGCCGGGCCCCTCCGAGCTCCACGGCCCGGAGCGCCCAGCACGAGGCCGGGGCCATCTCCCCGCCTCGGAGCCAGAGACGCTGCGGCGCAGAGACACCTGGCCTGACGCCAGCGCAGCGGGGCTTGGCAGTGACCTCACAGCTCCCCACAGGCTGGGCTGCGCGTCCTCATCTTCATCCCCATCGTAATCTTCATCACCATCATCTTTATCATCCTCCCCCTACTCTTTCTCCTCCTGCTCCGTCCTCATTATCACTATCCTCCTCCTCCTCTTCCCTCTATCATAATCTTGATCATGTTCCTCCTCTTCCTCATCTTCCTCATTATCCTTCTCCTCATCATCACCATCACCTTTATCCTCTTCTTCTTCCTCCTTATCATCTTCCCACTCTTCACTCTCCTCTTCCTCATCCTTATCTTCCTCCTCATCACCATCATCTTCCTCATCTTCTTCTTCCTCCTCATCGCCATCATCATCATCATCATCACCCTCCTCATTATCATCACCATCATCATCTTCCTCCTCCGCCTCCTCTCCCTCCTCGTCTCCACAGCTGTTAAAACACAGACTCTCATGTTGACTTTCTCGATGAGAATCTTGGCAAAAATCTTGGGACTGAAAAGTTCCTCCAGAAGATCCTTCCATGCCAGTCAGGCCCCGGCGCCGGGAACTCCTCTCGGGTGACCACACGGGGACGCATCCCCACGTGGGCTGGCAGGGACAGGGAGAGGGAGCCCAGGCACCCGCACAGGACGTCCCCACTCCGGGAGCTCCACACCAAGGGAAGGGCCCCGTGTGTGAGCAGACGCAGTGCCGGCATGTCATTTACTTAATAGCTTCCTTCTCATCAACTTAGGCTTCATTAAATACATTTATTTTTAAAATAAAATAATTTGACTACTAAGAAACAGCCCCCACCTGCTCTGATGGTGGGCAGAGAAGCGAGCAAACCACGTGAACCCTGTGGAGCCTCTTGCAGGCCCCCCTAGCCTCGGTGGCTGTCACTCACACAGCGCATGCTCAGAAGGACCAGAGACCAAAGAGGGGATACCCTCTGTGTCCCCGGCCTTTCAGCTCGGCGGCACTTCCTACCATGAGGGGTTTCATCACCACACAGCTCCATCCACGGCCCGTAGTGTGAGAAACACTGGCCCACAGAACGCAGCCGGGTGCCCAAGAGCAGCAGCAGAGCCGCCGCCTCTCTGCTCAGCCTTCACTCCCGGGCCCCCAGCCCTGCCGGTGCATCGTTACTCACGCGTCCAGACACCCAGACAGCTTCTGCAAGCACCCCGCGCCCCAGCCGTCCCTCGTCTTGCTGCTACAAACACTTCCACTGAAGCACCATTACTGTGGAGCACGCACAACTGCTTAGCGTCCATGCCCAGCCCTGGGATGAGAGCTGGTCAGGGGCAAGTGCCACGTCTGCATCACCTGTGTCTCCAGCCCCTGGTACGCAAGGTGCCTAGGAAGTGCCTGTCAGATGAATGAACATATGAATGAATGAGTGAGTGACTTAATGCAGTAAGCAAACATGGAACTGAAAAACTGAATAAACCCCCAGTTTGCCAGTCCCTCCTTCTGCACTTCTGTTTCTCGACATGGTGCTACTGAGGGGTTTTCCCAGCAATGCACTCAGACAGTGTGTTCTTTTTAAAGAATTTGTAGAACTGTCTCTAACCTGAAATTACCTGCTACTACAAAACTAAACTGGTGGACATTCCAAGGGTCCTGAGGTGGTTCCCCTGCCCAGACCTGACCTCTGCCCGCTCCCCAGGAGGGCAGAAGTCCACAAGATGATGGCCAGCCTGTGCCCCGCCCAGCCACTGCCACGGGGTGCTCTGATCAACATGAAATTCAAATCTGACAAACACTTGAAATCCAGCAGTTTAGAAAATGACTAAATTTACTGAACAAGCCTCTTTTGCACAAAAAAGAGGAGGAATGAGCTTCCATGAATATGCAGTTGGCTGCCAGGGGACAGCAGGCTGGAACAACTGTGACAGCTCCAAAGAAGTGTGCCCGAGGATGGCAGGGCAGGTGCCTGGCCCCGCAGGGAACACCGGGTCACTCCCAGCCGGCAGCGCCGTGTGCACATCCGGGCGGTGGTGAGCACTCAGCACAGCTCTGAGACAGAGACAAGCACTGCGGCAGTCGGCCTGGGGCCTCTGGGACACTCGGTCAAAGTGCCCGTCCCTGCCCAGCCAGCGCTGCCATGGCAGAGCCCACCGGCGCCAAGGCAGCAGTGGGCAGCCGCATGCTAACAATCAGGACAGATGACAGATGTGCCGACTGCCAGTGTCACAAGTGTGGGTTCGAGAGAGTTTTTACCAGGGTTACAGAACCCTCGGCCTTCCGCACCCACGTCTCTGCCCCCGCCCCGCACGCTCTCACGGGTGTCCTCAGCTGAGGACCACTAAGCTCAGTCTGCAACAAGGGCCATGAACTAAGCACTCGCCGGGCCAGGCCCTGGGCCCGGCACGGGGCACTCCCTGACAGACACTGACTTCCCCAAGGACAGGGACCTTGTCTGGGCCCAGAGAGTGGCACCAAGCCCGGCCACGGCCTGTGGCATCTGATGAGCGCAGGGCACATGTGTGCTCAGTGCGCAGTCCGCGCCCGGAGCCGCCTCTCTCAGAGGAGACTCCCGTGGGGTGACACGGGGAGAGCGAGCACCACACAACTGCAGCAGCAGAGCCACGTCCCTACGGCCTGATCCGCTCCGCCCGGAGCCCCGGCAGCCTATCTGAGGATGAGGTCCTCGTTTTACAAAGTTG